TTATTGACCAAATACTTATTTTCCACCATAATTTACAAATAAATTCTTTAAAAATCCTACAAAGTGATTTCCTGGATTTTTTTTTTCTCATTTTGTCTCTCATAGTTGAAGTGTACCTATGATGAAAATTACAGACCTCTCTCATCTTTCTAAGTAGGAGAACTTGCACAATCAGTGGCTGACTAAATACTTTTTTGCCCCACTGTATAAATAACATTAACTAGCTTAAATCAATAAACAAAAGGTTTTTTTCTCCTATCATTGAGTGAGCTGAAAAGTGTGTGAGATTGATTAACATCTCATGACATTGTAAATAGCAGATTTTATCTTGGATTGTACCGTTTTACGCAGGGAACGTCCAGTATACAGCTTGGGAACTTTGCACAATAAAGTAGATATGATTTTGAAGCTCTGAAACAGACACAAGTCAGTTCACTCTATCAGAGGTGGCTTATGCAAGAAGGCTTCAGTTGAGTATCACTATAAATCAAATATCACTATAAATCAAGTATCACTATAAAAGTCATTTAGGTCCTTATTAAAGGGAGTCATTGCATTTTCAGTGAGCAAAACAAAGTTGTTACCATGATTGAGGTATTAAATGTTATTTTATGTATTATAGAGGAAAAATGCCACAGAACCAGGTATTTGGTCAAAATTGGTCTGACTGATCAAAAATTATGTAATTTTGTAAAGTCAGGTCCGGACTGGCTGTCAGGAGAAACGGGAGATTACCTGGTGGCCTGGCCTGTCAGCTGACCTGGACGGCCTGGCTGGATGACGTTACAGCATATGATGAACTAAACTACACAGTGCAGCTTGTGAACACACACTGTCTCTTTCTGCCGTGACGTAGCATATAAAAAAGCACTCATTACCCGCTTGCTTGCATGCAGTAAAGGTAGCAAGTTTGTGCTCATCGAATCTCACCAAGAAATGGAGAAGAAGAGGATAAAAGGATAAAAAAAAGAAAAGCACTTGAAGAAGAAGCTGCTGGGTTTATAAAATGACTGATTTGTTCAGCAAGGAAGCGACACATCAGCCATGTTAGGAACTATTTTGTTACGTTAGTTTATGTTTGCTTTGGTTCATGGTGGTTCACCACGGTGGCGAGTGGACATTTGACCCACCATCTTTGAAAGTGCTGTGGTGATGACCCACTACTTTTTAAAATTGGGAAGCACATATAAAAACCTCGGCTTTCCCTAAACTGCATGAATCGTTGGCCAGCACGGACAGGCAGGGTAAAACTGAGCAGAGCCCATCAGAATCTCTATTTCAGCTGGGAGGCGCTTTCAGACCTGCTTTCGGTGGTGCAGACCTGTCCAACTTTTCCTTTAGTTCGGTTTTGATATGCAGCTCCACCTAAATTCAGGCAGCACCAAACAGTTGAACCGCGCTAATTCACAAAGGAATTCAACAGCAGAGGATGTTTTTGCTGCACTGTCTGCACAACCTGCTGCTTTAACATTTCACTCTTTACAAACACTCATATCGTTCCTGCACTGCGAGCTGCTGTAAACAATGAGAGAGAAGCAATAAATTAATGATATGTGTTAGATTTTGGTACATGGACCGTGGAGCAAATTTTTGGCTAAGCGTCAGTCATCTGATCAGTTCTTTTTAAAGTGGTATTCACAAAGATGATATCTATTTTCTGTTTTTCTGTTTCCTGCAAAACTTCTGATCAATAAACAAACACACACGTGTGTAATCTGGTCCACTTTAGCCCTTACAGTCCACCATCCGAACCAAATGAAAGAGATACAATATCACAAAAAACAAACTGTGATGCATCTTTAGAAAATGAACTGGGCATGAAAACTGGGTCTTCAGAGATGTTAGCTAACAAATACTGCTATCTGAGCAGCATCAAAACAAACACTGATGCTGTTCATGATTAGGCTCAGAGGTGGGTAGAGGAGCCTAAATCAATACTCAAGTAAAAGTATTGATACTTGTGTAAAATAATTACACAAGTAAAAGTACCTTCCCCAAAACAACTTGAGTGGAAATACAAAGGAAGCAGGTTGAACACCTACTTAAGTGCTCAGCACTGCAGTGGAACTTCTTACTACATCCAGCATTTAACAGCACAGGAACTGAAGATTTTGAGGCTTGGTTCTTCTTTTTTTTGGTCTAAAATACAAAGCTCCAAAGTCAGGGATGTAACCAAATACAAAGCAGTAAAAATATGGCCACCATTAAAACATATTAAAATTAAACAAACATAAAAAAATGGAATTAATAACTAAATAGAAAGATTCCTTTACTCACTAATATACAACCCCATTTCCAAAAATTTGGGACGCTGTGCAGAATGTAAATAAAAATAGAATTCAATGATATGCAAATCATGCAAACCATATTTTTAAAGGAAAATACTTCAAAGACAACATATCAAACAATGAAACTGAGAAATTTCATTGTTTTTTGAAAATTATATGCCCATTTTAAAATTGCCAACGACACGTTCCAAAAAAGTAGTTGCACTATTTGATCGTGCAGTCTTTCACAGAGTGGTGAGCCCCTCCTCATCTTGACTTCTGAAGACTGAGCCTCTCTGGGATGCTTTTTTATAACCAATCATGTTACTGACCTGTTGCCAATTAACCAGCAGGTGTTTTTTTTTGTTTGTTTTTTTTTAGCATAACACAAATTTAACAGCCTTTTGTTGCCCCCGTCCAAACTACAGCAATTGGTCTCCTCTGGTCCCGAACACTTACAGAGTGTATATATATATATATATATATATATATATATATATATATATATATATATATATATATATTATCATTGCATATCATTGTTAATTCATATTTATAAGTACAAATTGACATGACAATAAATGTGTAAATGTGTACATTGTTTCCACTCACTGTTACTGTTTTCAGGATGCTACAGACTGACTGCAGTGTGTCTGGGGCTGCTATGTGTTATCCTGCTGGCTGCCATCACAGTGCTTTAGGTCATGTTCACTGCAGAGAGAGACCAGTTACAGACCAGATGTTTGGATGTAACAAATGAAAGAAATCAACGGAAGACTAATTACACCACTGTGATGCATCAGCTTCAGAATCAGAGAGAGTGTCTTCAGAAGTTCTGTAATTTGGGTGAGCAGATCATCTCTAAGGTTTAAGACAGTTTTTCTAAAAGAAGGTAACTAAGTTACATAGAAACGTTAAGCAAGCAATACATATTATTACCATGTTTGAAATTGTTGTAAGGGACACAAGCATTTACATCACTTTTGCACCATCTCATCCTCCTCCTGTTATTTCAAAATGTAAAAAAAAAATCAAAAAGTTTATTACAGTCACAAAAAAACATGAACAGAGTGCATCATTTCCAAACTGCCAATAAATAAATGTTAAACTATCAATCAAGGAATTGCTAAATGTTAAATTGTGCTGATGAACAGGAGAGAAGACCTGATTAGCATTAGCTTAGCTAGCATTATAACAGCTCTGCTCACCTCAGAACAGGTTTAGATCCGGCAAACTAAAGCACCAACACACTACAGCGTAGCCGGGCGTCCGTCAATCTTCTCCAGAGGAGGGGCCACGTCAGTGGACGAAGCCATCGTCCAGTTAGTTTGGTCTAGTTTATAAGTAGAGAAAGTCAATGAGTATTAAGGATTTTTTACTTCCCTCAGCAAGCCTTCCCTAAAGTCCCGAGTCAACAGTCAAACCTGGTCTCCAGGTTAATAGGAAGGGCTGTAACACTTGCTGTTTGTTCCATCAAAGCACAGCTTCAATCCTCTGATGCGTCTCCTCCCAGACGCCCTCACTGCGCCGCATCCACTCATCCACCGCAGGCACTTCAGATGATACACCAGTCCACAAAGCTACAGGAGGTCAAAATCCCTAAACACACTGTAATGGGCTGATACCAGTAGCGGAAATTATCAGAGAGTTTTGCACTATTTCTGCCCAGTCACTGGGGTTGTTATGGCAGACTAACTGGTGCTCTGCTGACACAAGTGCAGACAATAAAAACTCATGTCTGAGAGAGCAAAGTCAAGAGACTGTTGGAGTGACAGATAGTAACAGTTCACACCATCATAATTCTGAAAGTCCATCATCATTTTGGAATACCTGCATCATTTTTAAACACTGTGGTAAACTTTCTTACCTCCCAGTGCTATATTACCATTAAATACTGACAGATTATATAGTGTTGGAATTTTTAGTGTTAATTATGTTTCCTGCTTTTTTCTAACGATGAAACATTAATATTTTGTACTTTATTAGAAATTACATGAATTAAATTGGCTTTTAAATAGTGCTTTACATGGAGATTTCATGGAGTTACGTTCTTCACTCTCAGTAGTGGAGGGTTATAGCACTGTATAATTGTTTCAGTCCAGCTGATGTGGTTTAGGTGTGTTAAGGTTTGATAATTACACAGTGACTGGAATTTTTAAAGGTATTTAACTGTGACTGTAATATATATTCATTAAGTGTGTTAAGCTGTGTTTATGTGTGATATTCACACATTATTTCACACATTCTGACTGCTAATCCTGTGAATGTCAGTAAATGTTTGACATAATCTGAAAACATCAATGAGCAAAAGCATCTAATATGGAAACAGTTACATTTCCATATGCAAGAATATCATATTACATTTCACGCAGTTCTTAATACAAAAAGGAAACGTTATGATGCAGTTAGGAATATGTCAGTACTGATATGAAATCAGAATCATGTCGGTACTGACAGATAACGTCTTAAAATAAAATGTTCTGTTTATCCAAATTAATGTTATATTACTAATACAAGCAGGTTTAATCCCAATTTCTACATTTTATAGATATTTATTTATTGGTATCAGTATCAACATCAGCAGACACACATAAACATTATCAGACAGTCGTCATCCCTCAATTCTGATATCAGTGTATCCCAAGATGCAAAATAAGTTAAAAGTACAGTAATCCCTTTTTAATGTGAGGAGCAATTACCAAGGACTCTGTTTTGTGTGTTTTCAATTCATAGAGAAGGCAGTGCAGCAGGGTTGGATGTTTTTTGAGACCAGTATGTACTTCATCTCTACTGGACAGAAGAGCTGGAGTGAGAGCAGAAAGGACTGCAGAGAGAGAGGAGCAGACCTGCTGATCATAAATAGCAAAGAAGAACAGGTGAGTGAGAGAGAGAGAGAGAGAGAGAGAGGGAGAAAGGATGGTCATTTACGTCAGATGACATAAGCACAAATGCGAGTGCAGTAAGTTACTTTTCCTCTCAGTTACTGAAAATGTTCATCCGGTTGTTAACAGAACTTTACAGATATACTGAGACGAGGACAGAGAGCTTGGATTGGCCTGACTGACAGTGAGACAGAGGGGGTCTGGAAATGGGTGGACGGCTCAACAGTGACCACTGGGTAACAGATGACTGAACTGAACTCTGAATTCTGGACATGGTGCAGTTAATGACTGTCACTCCTCACTGCTCTGATAAACACAGTGGATTCTCTGATTCTCTCTTTCAGGTTCTGGAGAAATGGGGAACCCAACGGTGCAGCAAATGAGGACTGTGTTGTAACTGCAAATAACTGGGCTGATTTTCCCTGTAATGACTGGTTTGTTGGGATTTGTGAGAAAAGAATTTTTAACTGAGATTGTTTTAAAACGAAAGTCAGTGAATATCAGGAATATCAGGCTTTAATATTTCTGACATTTTAAGTTGGGTCATACTAAAACCATTATCCTCTAAATGAAGGTGGATTACCTGCTAGAAAAACAGCATAGACCACCATTACTGGTTACCAGCAAAAACAGCATATATTGTGTTTTGGATGCTGTTACGCAGGGTAGGCATGATGGTGGACTGAATTCATGTTTCTAATATTTTTTAAATCAGTTTTCTAGAAATGTACAGTCAACTCTTTCATAACTTCATCATCTGCTCACACTTAAATCATTAAGCACAATGTATCAAAACTATATAGACCAAATCACACTGAGTTATTTTACTATAAACATGTCTACTGTTAATAAAGATCATTTTAAACTGTACTCACTGATACAGACACCACAGAACTGTGTAATAGTGTCTGTCAGTAAGAGAAAAAAGGGTTCACATTTATTTGAAGAGACAGAGCTGATGATTATCATAGTTACACTGACGACACCCAGATTTACCAACTCTCTCTCCAAATGACTACAGTCCCATAGACACTCTGTGTCAGTGCTTAGAGCAAATAAATGGATGTTTGTGCCAGAATTTCCATCAGCTTAACATCACTGAATGTGTTCAGGATTACTTCTAAACTGAACTGTGGAGGTGTGAAAAATATCCCTGCAGATTTCTTTGAAAAACTGAAAGAAAGCTTTATGAAAAGAATGGAAGCTGAAATAAAATCAAGAGTGGACACATTTAATACTGAATATTTTAACATTATATTTAGTTGTTGAGGCTTCTGTGTAATTTTCTGTTTAATGTAGGTTTTCTGACTGTAGTCAGACATGTGATCAGACATCAGATGTGTGATCAGAAGGTTTGAAGGCTGAATGAAGGCAGTGCAGGATTGTTTTATAATCTGTAGCCTTTTAAATATCTGTCTCATACATCTGTTTTTGTACGTTTGACCTTTTAATCATATTTGCATAAATTTCATTTGGAATGTTAAACATGTAACTGTGTAAAAACTATAATTGTCTAATACATTTAATGGAGCTGAAATAGCAATCAATCATGAATATGTGTTGGTAGCAACATTTGTTGTGATGTTTTTATGTTTTGAAAACTCATGAATATTTTATGTTGGTGGTGTTTCACTGCATCAGTTGTGCAATTATCACCATCTTCCTGAATGATTATGGAATGGAGTCATTCAGATGAATAAAACTAAACACATTTTTAGAATAATTGGTAGCAGACGTTTTTTTTTAACAAAAACAACCATTAAACAAAATCACACAAACCCTGTTTGGATCTGTGCCTCATTTTGTGATCAATGTGAGTTTAATCGCATATGGAATAATATATATTCCAAATGTGTTTATCAAATGTATTTTTGCAATGTATGAAAATGGCCAAATGTATTTGTTAAATATATTGTTAAAAAGCCTTTATTTGTTACTATATATTGTTTTCAATTGTATGCAGTTTTAATGAAGGTTACAGATATAAATAAACATACACGAACTGAATGAACAGTACTGACTTCTGTGTGTTGCATTGTAATTTCCCTTCACTAAAAAAAGATCACCATTAACCGTACACTTCACCCTGATGGTAACCCCCCCCCACCCCAAACCACACAATTACACCCACACCCCAAAACAGAATGACACAGTAAACACATACCACATACGTTTTACTGATGAACATGCATATATGGTCACTTCTTCTAGAGGACAATAACATCTGTCTGCAGAGCTGCAGAGCCACAGTTTCATGCCAGCAGGTTCAAGACAGTGGCATTCAGCGCATACGCTGACACTCGTTTTGGTTTTTCTTAGCGAGTTTTAGGCGAATCAACATTTTAGTCGTTTTATGTGGGTTTCCAATAAATTTCTGATGAATTTGTATTGGGCTAACGTTATATTTTAAGCTTTAGGCTAAAACAAACTTTGGTTTGAATGCATATAGAGATTCACAGGGTAAATATTACACTAACTACAGCTGATGTAGCTCTGGGTAAACTACTGGGATATGTAGACATACAGCTCATTAACTTACCCTTAATATGGGTGGGTTATGTGTACACTTACATTTCATGTGCAGGATTAAAACTTTACCTTAAGCAGGCTTAACTGAGTATAATATTAAGCTTTAGGCTAAAACAAACTTTAGTTTTTGAATGTATCCCTGCTGAAAAAAAAACTATTTGGTGTTTCTTTTGGTTTCTGATGGTTTTGTAGTGTGTTTTGGCTTATGGTTTAACTGGTTACCAATGGTTGATTTGTATATTGGTAACATCCCTTCCTGAATGGTAATTTGCATGGCGATACATACAGCCAGCACACATAGTCGCTGTTTACATCAGAGACGTTAAAATGAGGAGACCAACCACTGGCTGAAATATGAATGGGACGCTTGTAAGGCTCGACTTTCCTATAAGGACTTTATTTACACTGCCTATCGCGCTGTCCTACTGCGCATGTGATCCCTTGGCCTGAAACCGCTGGAGTGAAACTGCGGGTGTAAATCTGCAGTTCTGTGGTCAGACCTTTCTGCTATAGGCCAGTGCCAGCCTGTAGCAGGTCACTACACTATGACTCGAACGATGTAAGATATGTATTCATTATGGTGTTTTAAAATATAAGAAAAATCCTCACAATCACAATAGGGTTGTATGCTGTAGGTGTGCTTGGACCCCTAATAACACAATTCATGAGTATGAACATGAGTACGTAGTTGCTCAAAATCTCATAACCTTCTAAGTCAGATGTGTCAGTCTCAGGCCGTGGCTCTGAAGATATTTCCTCTTCTAAGGCAGAAGTCAACTTAAAAAGGTCTTGCTAATTCACTGAGTAGTTAAATCAGGTATTTAATGAGGTAGAATGTTATATTCTGCAGTGCTGCAGCCCACCAGGACCAGAGTACAACACATATGGTCTCAGGAACCTTCATTCAGCATATCAGTTTATGTTTGGTGTCACATCATAATGACCCACTAGAGGGCACCAGTGATCAGCTTAACAGCTGATCCAGCACTCATCAGTTGTCCTCGTAACTTACTAAGAAAACCAAATGAAAAAGCAAATGTTGTTTGTCTCTGAACTGATTCCAACATGCACAGGCCTGAAAACCCAACTCTGGAAGTCTGCATAAGAATTTCCTCATAAGTGTGATCATTACCAAGAGGGTGAATTAAGGTCGACAAACTAAAGAAAAAAACTTCTGCTTCAAGAAGCTTCTACACATGTACCATGTGACTCACACATCTCAAACGTCATCACAGTCTCATGTATGTAGCCAGCATCGCTATCTACCGCAATCTCTCTAATGTAGACCAGGCTATTAATATCACAGTTGAGCACAGATACTCTGCTGTGACTTGCTGCCAGAAGCAGCATTAAGCTGACAGGCAGCACATACAGAGTCACTTTTAGAGTCATCAGAGTTATTAAGGTCAGTCAGAGCAGAATGGATATGAGGGAGGATATTTATGCAAATTCAGAAATTACTGCAGACAAGACAACATTCATATGAAAACATGTATGCCAATGAGGACGACACAGAAACGGAAAACACCAAAAACAAAAGGAACTCCAGTACAGTGACTACAGAGAATATCCACATTAAAAATGCTGAGAAAGTGGACAAAACCTCTCACTCACATACAGCAGATCCTCAGTACAGATCTCAAAGCAATTTGAAAAACAGCCATGAGTGGCACGAGGCTGTGGCACCAGAGTTTGTAATGACATGTAATTTAAGAGTTAAATGTAATTAAATATAATTTTAATTTGACTTTTTTAAACTTAAGGTTTAAAGGTGTTGAACTGCATAAGTCAGTAAGCCGCGATGTGTCAGTACAGCCTGCTCAGGCCGTCTCGAATGTGCTTGAATGAACACTGAAGAGGAGCCTTCACTTACCAACGCTAGGAAGGCTCTCCTACCTCAACCTGTAAGAAGCTGGATTATCCTTCTGGAACACTGGCGCTCGTGTTGAACAGAATGTGACCATAATGATGAGAGTATGGTGTCAGCAGGTAGAATAGGGCTAGAGTGTGGAGTGTGGGGTCTAGACTGTCCTTACACCCAAAAAAACAGGCGGACAGACAACTGGTGCCCATGGCTGTGACTGACTTAACAGTCACATCACAGACCTTAGCGCAACAGTTGGAATGAGTTGCACATCAAAGAGTGTTTGTTTGCACTGTTTGATGCTGTTAGTAGCAACGGGGCCTTTCTACACCCCACTGCTTTGGCTACCTTCGAATGTTACCAATGGTATTGTATTGTGTTCTTAATAAATATAGCTTTCTTATCTCATGTTTTTCCTGGTGTTGCAATTTTAATGACCAGCAGTGTGTATACATTGATTTTTTTCCTATTAATTTCATTTTTAAATCTGTTTATGCTTACGAATGTTTTTATTCACATTTAGAAGTACAAAGTCACAAGACTTTATCTTTCATTTGAAGTGCTTATTATTTCTACTCATTGTGACTACTTCAGGATTGAACAAACTGACTGCAGTGTGTCTGCTGTGTGTTCTCCATCACAGTGCTGTGGATCAAGTTTGGTGCAGAGAGACCAGTTACAGACCAGTTACACCAAATGGACTATAAAGAGAGACATGTTACAGACTAGTTATACCAACCTGACTATAGAGAGACCAGTTACACCAACCTGACTATAGAGAGAGACCAGTTACAGACCAGTTACTCCAAGCTGACTATAGAGACAGACCAGTTACAGACCAGTTACACCAACCTGACTATAGAGAGAGACCAGTTACAGACCAGTTACACCAACCTGACTATAGAGAGCGACCATGTTACATTTAATCAACATTGATATTGTTTGATATTGTGTCATTTTTAGTTGATTGAATGTAACATGGTCTCTCTCAGTAGTCAGGTTGGTGTAACTAGTCTGTTGCATTTAATTAACATTGATATTGTTTGATATTGTGTCATTTTTAGTTGATGACCTAAAATGAACTACACTGTTGTCACAGGTTAAACTCTTAAACGTTGTTTAAATGTTGAAAGCAAAGCACTGAAGCAACATGGAATTTTGGTTATTATCTTCAACAGTACTAAGCCAACTAGCAAAGAGTTCAGAACCAGAGTGGTTCACAAACTATAGGAAAACCTGCTTGTGGGGGCGTAGCACCATATTTTGGACCTCAGGCACAGTAATGATTTTGATTTCATTTTAACCAGGTCAGAACTGGCGGACAGCCACTAACTGCTCTCAATAGCCAATAACGTACAAGTTACATGAATGAAGGAAACGACAGGCAGATAAGCAACTTATAATGGAAGATGCAGCCTCATATCATTTACTTCTATAACAGCAGAGAGTATCAGACTTTCAAGGCTTTTGGAGGGCCTAGCTAGGTCCATCTTTATTTGTGACCCAACGCCCCTGCATATGATTCACACATCTTAAAGGCCATCACAGTTTCACATATGTGACCAGCATCACTATCTAACACAATCATCATCACTGAGCACAGAAACTCTGCAGTCACTTCCTGTCAGCAGCAGCTTTAAGCTGACATGCAGCACATTCAGAGTCACTTTTAGAGTTTAAGTTATTAAAGTTAACATCAGTCAGAGCAGAATGGAAATGATGAAGGATATTTATGAAAATTCAGGATTTACTGCAGACAGCAGAAGAAATTCAGACAGCAGTGGACGTTCATATGAAGACACTTATGCCAATGAGGACGAAATAGAAACGCAAAAGACCAGCAACAAAAGGAACTCCGGTACAGCAACTGCAGAGAATATACACATTAAAAATGCTGAGAAAGAGGACAAAACCTCTCACTCACAGCAGATCCTCAGTACAGAGTAAAGTTTAAGTCCTTACTGAGATTTTTCACTAACCCATGTGTTTCTACATTAAATAGTGTTATAGGCCCCACACTAAAATGTATCATCAACCAGCTTATACCATTACCAGCATATTCATAACCATTTAATGAAATCTTTTTCTGTAGTGTAGCTTTTAGAGATATTACACTCTTCAGACGTCTGATTCTTATAACTACTACTGTGAACAATTCTGACTCACTAAGTTTCTCTAGAACACAGTATTTCACACCAAACCACTCTGAATGACTTTGTTTACAGCTTAATGATCACTTTACATGAACATTTTGAACAGGTGGAGGTCTCCTTCAAATATATGGCAAAGCCCACAGCAAACAAAAATAAACCAAATATAAGATGGCTGAAAACTCTTCGCTATATATAGTCATGGTTTGATGGTACAAGCACAGACACACACACAGCATAAGAAATCTGCATGAATGTAAGTAGCTGTCAGCGACCACCAGAGGGAGCCATCCAGTTGATGACTGATGGCAATCTGAGGCTTAAAAACACAGAAGTATATGACATGCTAATTAGAGCCTCTCTCAGTGTGGCTCACTCACTGTAGCTCCCTGAAACACTGAAGTATCAGTCTAATGCCATTTAGGGACTTTATGACAATCAAGTAGAACTATAAAAGTCATTTAAGCG